CTTCAGGGTCTGGCCCGTCCTCATCCAGAGACTTGAGCTGCTTGGCCTGATACACCTGGAGTATCGCCATCACGTGCAGTGCTGAAGCTGCTTGGCCCACCACAGAGAAAGCCTTGCCGGCGAAGTTTGCAGTGGCGTGGCAAGATTTAGAGGGGAGAGACGCGATGTTTCTCACTCTCCAGTTCGCCGCGACTGAAGGACAGAGATGGGCAGCGACGGCATCTTCCACGGGGGGAAGTTTAACATACCCCACTTGGTCACCGCCGTCCACAGAAGACAGGAGGGAGGATCCCGGGTTGTGCACTCGACTGGTGAGCGGCGCGTTCCACGACTTCGTTATCTCATCGTGCACCTCGGGGGGAAAAGGGGCCAGGCCTCCGCGGGGTGTCCTTTCGGCTGCGATCCGACTGGAGGTACCACTCGTCCAGAGGGCTTCTGGCCGACTCGGCAGGAGGCACCCACTCCAAACCGAGCTCATCAACTGCCTTGGAAAGGACGCTAAGGAGCTCGACATCACTATGATGGAGGTCCCCTGCGTCGCTGCCGTGGGGCGCAGTGTCATCCCTCTCGCAGACGCTGCCACCGAAATGGCATCATCTTCCTCTTCAGCGCCCTCCATGGCACCGAAGGACACCACATCTTGAGTGATGGGGGAGGGGTGGCAAACAGCGGTCATGGAGCGCACTGGAAGGGGACCTGCAGCAGGGGGGTGAGGAGCGCGTGGGCACTGAGCCGGCGCGGGCTCGTCACCTGACCCTGACAGATCCGCATCAGAAACTCGCGGCACTTTCCTCCTTGACTCGAAAGAGGCTGCAGAGGAAGAGCGCGGCAGGGCTAGTTGGGCGAGTTCATCGCCTTGGACGATGGCCACATGGAGCTTGAGAGTCCGGAGGCTCATATTTCCGCAGTGGGGGCAGTCCGACCCCCCAAGCGCCGCCTCTGCATGGGCGCAACCCAGGCAGAAGACGCACGACTTGTGGTCATCAGAGAGTTCGATTGTCGCTGCGCAGGAGAGGCAATCGCGAGTCATCCTTGTTTCCAAAGCTCACCGGAACACAGCAGGGGAAGAGAAGCCGTGTCCGCTGCAGCGTGTAGATCACGGTGAGTAGTCTTGTTGATAGGCTTCTTGCTTCTCGTAGAAGGTTGGCTGAAGAAAAAGATTCTGAATAGATGACGTACAAGCGCTGCTTTATATAGAGTGGGAACCCCTCATATTTCGCGCACTTGAACGCCATTGGCCAGTTTCACTGGCGTGATTCAATAAGGAAGGCTTCAGTAGTATTTGGAGGAAAGGGTAATTCCCCATTCCCAAACGCATTTACTATATCATGAAATATCTTGATTCTCACCTTTATAGATTATGTTGATCTATAGTGGGCGATGGTCAAAGTAACCTAATAATGTAGTCTATTAACTATGCATAAAAACCTGTCTGTTTAATTAATTAACATGGGTGTCATGTCATAACATATTTTAAATACGACTGACTTTATATTTAATGTGAATTTAACATAGAAGGTTAATGTGAATAAAAACATTGCAAGTTAGGCTACTAATCACTTTCATTGTACAGTAAGAGAGCAAAGAACATTTACATTATCAAAGAACATTTTCACTGACAGTCTAGTTAAAGCACTCTCAAAAACTCCCATTAAAATCACTGAAGCTGTTTACACTATGAAATTAATATCTTACAGATTTGTACACAC